GCGGCACTAAGCGTCGCGAGTCAAATCCGGACCGCATCAACCAGCAACCTGAGACGGATCCGTATGAACAATACTACGCGAGTCAAGAGGTTCGTCACCAAGCGTTTGCTAACCGTAAGCAGACACCAACAGTACTCGGAGACGAACCTAACCTAAAAGAGGATGACGTCGTATTCGACACAGAGTCTATGGGAACTTCCGACCTGCATGCGGATCAGAACAAGACCGTTACTGGTGAATATGTAGCAAATAACGGTCTGCATTTTCGTTCTTCGTCGGGAACTTCCGACTCATCGTCCTCAAGCAACGACCAGCTACGCCTCCCACCCAAAAAGCACAGACGTCATTGTCGGCGAACCAACAACAAGTGTACTGTGCGTGACCAGGATTCTGCACAGAAGATGACCCAGTTAATGGCGTAACAACAGTCACTGTTGGACAAGTATACACAAGCAACGTCTCCAGCGCACTTCTCCAGGGCGGCCCACACCTACTGCTAACGGGGCAAGTGACAGCACGGACAAACGTGAACGCTCGTCGTCGGAGAGCGAGGACAACCAATCGTGAGAGACTACAGGAGTAGACATATTTCTAAATACATTAAGAATGTTTTACGTCGTCAGCCCGAGAGTAATTTGGGACTTGTTCTCAAAATAATATATATATATAGGTGGGTCAGCCCGAGAGAACGTAAAAGTAATTTGAGACTTCTTCTCAGAATATTCCATTTATAAAACACGGGCTACCGGCTAGCCGAGAGCCGGGGTCTGAGACTGAGTGTACGTAACAGAGAATGTGATATATATTTATATATATATATATGTTCAATAAGTATACGTATATAAATACAAAGTGGTTAGTGTGTTGGCGCTACTGCGCGGTTTTCCAAATGACTTCTGACGTCACCCTAGATGTGCCCGGCTTAAATGGATGACTTATGACTGTTATGCCGCCCATAGCTTTCCGTTCTGCCGTTGCCACCTTATGGAAACTTGGATGCTACCTCGGGTTGATCCAATTTATAGTTTCTCAACAATCCCCAATGATCTAGCAGACAATTACTGCCGTGCTTGTTCTCGGTGACAGACTGGCAGCCCATTATTTCTGCAATTCAATTATCATACAATGTCACATTCATTTTGAAAACACACTGATTTAAAGACAACCTATTTTAAACAACACTGAGAATTTGTATTTTTTGAAGTATTTAATTGGCTATGCAGCAGGTTTCTGCAGCAGTATTTATATAAATATTTATCTCGGTTCCCAAATTCAAAAACCCAAGGCTTTGAAAATAGTTGTTTCTAATGTATAAATAAACTCCGTTTCGAAATCTATCATAACGTGGATAGTATAGTGGCTAGTATCTCCGCCTGTCACGCGGAAGACCCGGGTTCAATTCCCGGTTCGCGAAATTTTTCTCGGTGTGACCTAGATTTTATCTCGCGAACTTCCGTCCTCCAAGGACTGCATTTCCTCAGATAGATATCATACATACAGCTCTTGAACATTTTAAAAGATAGTAAAGACTATATAACCTATATTATACAAATATTTACATGCATAGTGCTGTCACTGAAATTTTACAAGATTGGGATCCACCCGACAGGCTGACTCTCTACTAAATATTCCACACCAAGTTCTCATTTTTCTTCTTTTCTCACGGTCTTCTGGATAGTGTTGCGGTCATATAAAGGGCAATTCTGTGTCAGAGAGAATTGTTTTTATTTTCTAAACTGCTGTTCGACTGACAATTTCCAGAGGGCCGTGCTTTTCTGCGAGTATATATGGTCTTGATACATAAATAGCGGGTTTTTCTTTCCTGACCTGACCGCTTTCAGTCATTCCTTATTGAGAGTACTGAGCTAAACCCTAAACCCTAAAACCCAAAAAACATAAACCTAAAAACACAAAAGAGTTTTCAGGTATTTATTTTTGTCTAATTCTCAGAAGGCTATGTTTATTTATATTTTGAGAATCTGTCAACTTCTTGAACAGCTGTCAGCCCCTGCTCAACATTTTTGACTCTGTCAACCCGTGCTATTAAAGCGGGTATATTTAGTCACAGTCAAAATAGTAAATACACATGCCTGTGGAAACTACTTACTTTATTTACCCTCTCTGACTAATAAAATAAATTTCACAGGGGGTGGAGTAAAAAAAACACAAAGTGACAACTACAACAAAGTGGAGTTGTGAGTGATGTGACCAGACTCCAGACTCCAGAGACTGATGAATGAGAGTGACTTGTGAACTGTGATTATTGAATATTGATTATTTGAAGGGCCGCCAGGCCGGGCGGGGTGTGACTCAGTCAATTGTCTGACGAGTGACGAGTGGACGACTGACAATGCCATCCTGAATTCTCAATTCTGAATTCTAACAGGCCGATGCTGACGTCCAGCATCATTTTACCCTTTCTTTTTTTGGCGGGCCCAGTCACGGTGAACACATATTTATGTTTTGTTATGACTTCAAACATTGCCTTCTAAAATACAGATTCAAAAGTAGGGGAGGCTAAGAAAATATGTATATGTGTGTATACACAAATAGATATTATCAAAACATTGATGTCTCTACGGCTGCGACACCACAGTTACACATACATACAATTCAACGCTAAAACACTGTAATATCATAACTCCAGCCATGACGAGCTCTGCAATTCCTGCTCCCAAAGGGTTCGTGTACTCCGACACAGATTCGCACGTGGAGTGTGTTTACAAAGGTACCGGTTCATACTAGTACTTTGTCATTGTTGCGTACGCTTATAAATACTTCCTTGTCGTTCTTTAACTCCCATATTGCTTTAGTTGTTGTTCTTAATGAGGGTCCGAATTAGTTAATCATGAAAATTTATATATAAGCATACATATACGAGACTTGAAGAAATATAAGAGTCATAGTGGCAATTTATGTATGCCCTTTGCACGTTGTTTGTTCGTAGTGTGCCTTCCTGTCGCATATAACCGACACCTCTTGATTCCAGTAGTAAAACAAATGTGAAGCCAACGATAGCTAAACTGTATAACTGGTAGTTCTATACTGCTGAATGCTGAAAGCTTGAGAAAAGACCATTATGGCCGATATGTTGACACCTTTTGTTTCCCTTTAACCATTGCGTAGATGGCGAATGGGGTGCTCTAGAGACGGTCGCTGATCCGTACATTAAAATCCACATGTCCGCCGGGACTTTACACTATGGACAAACGATATTCGAAGGGATGAAAGCGGAAAAGGTACTGTGGACTTCACTAAGCAATGATTTGACACTTGTCTGTCACGGGGTGATGTCTGTAATGGGGTGATCACATACAAGTGAAACCACAAAGTACAATTGCGTGCATTGATAGATGCCAATCCTAGAGCGTAGGTTAGTTATAACTTGGAATGATTTGATTTGTGTACACACTTCTACGTGGATATGTATGCATATAGATACGTAGGATTTATATAATGAGTATATGCATGTACGTAGTACCACCCGAAGTTGGGTGCCAGAAAGCACACTCGCACGGCTCTTTCTCCTTATTGAAACAAGTTAGGGATACCGGTGGTCGACTAAAATTTGCTTATTTATATCTATCACAGGGTAAAGATGGTGTTGTACGCTTATTCCGACCAGATGAGAATGCCAAACGTTTAAATCGGTGAGTTTGTTCAATTCACCTTTTGACGGTCGTTGTTATGCACCGTTGAATCATTGCTATTGACGTTCGACTGGAATCACCACAATTGGAATGTATTGAAACAGTAATCTGCCACATAATAGTCTCATCTGTCAGTTAGGTGTGTTATTAAGGTGAACTGATGCTTTTCTTGGCAACCAATGATTTGTTTCCAAAGACACATACCATGACCTTCATGGATGTGTGGGAAGCTGGTACGGATAGGGAGCTTGTATTTAGTCTAGTGCCAGAGTATACACTGATAAACTTCACTATGCCATGGGCGCACTTTCATTCCAATGTGCGTTTATTTCCTGGCCAGCTCACATTGCTCGCAACACTCACTTCTTTTTCATACAGCTCAGCCAAGCGGTTAATGATGCCGACTTTAGATCCCGATTTTTTTATCGAGGCAGTGATGAAGGCCGTTAAGGAGAACATCCGGTTTGTGCCGGAATTTGGGACTGGTTCGCTATACATCCGACCATACATGTTTGCTACTCAGCCAGTGCTTGGTCTGGATCCGGCGACTGAGTATAAGGTGTGGCTGCTTGCTTTGTGTTACTGACAGCGTGTTTCTTTTCCGTGACAAGTGAAAGATTTGTATTCATGCATCATCGTACGACAGCGTTCTCCAATGCGATTTGGGAAAACGCCTAACACATCCACTCTGTTGCAAGATAATGTTAGTTCTGTGAGAATCCACCATAACCGACCATGTTCCGGAAAGCGTATCTCATGCTACCATCCTCACCGTCCTCCTGCGGGGGGCACCTCCTGTTTCATACCGCGTCTCCCCAGGTCAATGGTTACACAGCTAGTTAGTTAACCACAGCCACTAACCCATTCGCTCCTGTCGAATCACAGTTCGTTGTCTTCGTGGTACCGGTGGGTGACTTCTACAGCGGGGCCGTCCAGTCTATTCCTGCGTTCGTTGTGGAAAATTCCGACCGAGCCGCTCCTCTGGGCGTGGGTGCGGCGAAGGTTGCCGGAAACTATGCGGCGTCTATGGCCTCTACCAGAGAAGCAAAGGTACTTTACATGCAGCGTATCTCTGCTGCGTAACCTATCCTCATTATCACGGAGTGTATGCTCTTGTGCGACAGGTTGCTTTGGCATAGTTAGTACCATTGTGTATGTTATAGACTGAAATCATTGTGCCGGGTATATCTCGCATCGTGTTTATTTGGTGGTTCTGCGGTGTAGGTTTCTGGTTCCTGTCCAGCCTGGATGACTCTTGTTGTTAAGTGAATGGGTTTGAGCAACTGTAGTTCACGCGGTACGTTTCCACAATGAAACCCAAACTACTTGTCTACTTTGTATGCACACACGCCACTACTTGCTGCTGCCTACAGGCGTATGTGGTATTAGCCCGTGGTCACTGTGCTGTGTTCCAAGTCAGTCTCTTGCAAACGATTTTCGATAGTGCATATCCGTCTATTTGTAGGCATAGATGTAGGTTTTAATGTGGTTCCTAACCCGCATCCGACTCTCAATCTGCGACACCCGTCAAAGTGCCGATGAAAGTGATCCACGTTTCTATTCAATATGTTTATTGCCCACGAGTGCCGAAGTAGAGTCTGTATTATTGTCGAATTACGAACCCTACCGGAGTCGCGCTGCAATCCAATCTATCTCAGAGCCGTCAACGTATAAAACTAAATCCGGAACCCGTTTTTGCTACTTATACCAGCCATCACAACGTGCTCATGGTGAATCATCTCGAAGTCATATACTCAATATAGGGTTGTACATTATATCACTAGGCCAATGGATACCCGATCACTCTATTTCTCGACGCTAAAACGCGGACGTATGTGGAGGAATTTGCCACGTCCAACTTCGTGGGGATCTCAGCGTGCGGTCAGAAGTACTTGACGCCCTGTTCAGCGTCTATCCTGGCATCGATCACAAACAAGTCTCTGGAGGTAACGTCTAGAGTGCCACTCCATATACGCGTGCACTACTTAAAGTCGATAGTCAGTACCCCACAAACGTTTACTTGGACTATTTCTGTGAAAGTTCGTATGCTTCTACACAATCATGTCTCTGACTAGTTTTATATCTAAATGTCGTTGCTCTTATGATTCCCTCATCCATAGCATTGCAAACGTTATCTATAAACAACAAAACATAAGTATTTAGATCGGTGTTATTATCGTGCAAGGCTCATATCGCAATCACAACAGCACACTTCACTGACTGTTATAATCTCCCTACGTCGGGTGTACAGGCGCTCGCATCAGATCTGGGCCTGAGTGTGGAGAGGCGGCCCATCCTGATCGAAGAGGTGAAGGAGTTTAGCGAAGTAGGAGCTGTGGGAACGGCCGTAGTGTGTTCGCCTATCAGCCAGATAGTGTATAAAAGCTCTGTGTTCAATATCCGAGGTACCGCCACAGGCCTGGGACCTATTCTGCAGAAACTATACGATGCACTGCGAGCCGTTCAGGTACCTTGCGATTGCTTAATGCTATTTGTATGGGCGGTTTCATTTATTTTGGGTTTCGTGTGCACTACTTCCTTCATTGATAAAGTTGATCTGCGTGATACGTTGTATTGTCAAAGTTAAGTATGTATGCCTGATTTGTGTATGGCGCAGTTGTGTGTTGTAGAAATCGGATATGTAGTCGATGACGAGTCCGCTAGTCTTGTTGCCAAACGTATGCCGGAAATATTTGTCGTCAATTAAGCCTATGACGGAATGTGATGATATTTCGCTGCACGAACTCATTCCTTACTACTTCCCCTACCATTCTTAACAGCAAGGAGAAGCTGAGGATAAGCACGGTTGGATCAAGATTGTCACGGCCTAAATGTACAGAGCAGAGTCACCATCTCGATGCAGGTTTGCGTATAGCTTAGTATCGAGAGAGTACTCCACCAGCATAGTCAATGAAAGAATAACATCGTCGAGAATGTACAAACTGCATTGCAGATTGTAAATTGCAGGAATAGTTAGGTGGTTTATTTGTATTTACTGGGTAGAATTGCCGTCCATCTAAGGCGATTAGAGAGTATTTCTAGTATAGTTCGATACATCCTTGATTTGGCCTTGGATTGTCATCATCCGTACGGCAGTACTTTTGGAGTGCAGGTGGTGGGTATAGTTGAGTGGTTCTATTTTTATCTACTGGGTAGATTCACCGGTCCATTTAATGCGATTAGAGAGTATGACTTAGTAAAAGGCTTTAGCGGGTTTAATGTGGTCACAATGATAAACAGTCTTTTCGTTTGATACTTCTCTTCATTCTAGTGGTAAGAGATGCACAACATACACATGGTGAAAGTGTAGTAGTACAGTATTAGCGCGAAGATACATACACACAACATAGAAACATATACACAAATGACATGAGGACGATGTTGTGTGATAGATGCGGCCTGCCCTATGAAAGAGCATAGTATCCTTGCTTAGATCCAGAAGCGATTGAAACAACGTATCCAATGGGCGTACGCACATAAAATGGTTTGTAGCGTGTACTTTCTACCAGAGCAGATGGTGCCCTTCAGATATAGTATGCACCCACGTATTGGATGCGTAACAGTAAGAAATTTGCCAGCTCGCATAGAGTGTGTGCAACCAATGGTTCCTGAAAGCGGTGTTGATGCTAGGCGGGATCAGGCGGGTGTGTTGTGAATAATATGAAGACTAGTACTGTCGATACTATTACTACTGTGGATGTAGCTAGTATTGTTAAGCAAGTCACCAGTAGATCTATACCATCCACGACTGCAGTCTCGGCGAAGAAAATGTCTATCAAACATGCATCGCATGCAACATCAAATAAAAAGTATTGCGTGAGTACAATCTCTCAGAAGTGTTCAGAAAGACGTGAAGCTGGCGAAGGTTTTTACATTAACATTCATACGAAATCGTGTACTACGAGTACACAAAGGTTATCGGTCTTTATCTGATATTGCGGCGTACTACCTTGAACACGAATCAAAGAATAGATGGATACTGACATCAAGTGAGTCCGGTCAGGACCCACGCTTGGTGTATTTCCCGGATGAGGTACCTCCGGCGACACAGACCGTGAACATTGCATATGCTGACAGTCAAGATAAGAAACAATCGAGTTGTTCCGAAGTCAAATATACTCCATTGTCCGTCATAATGCAGCCTATTGGAGCTACTTTTCCTCTTTATGCGAAAAGAGAGATGAGGAGGTGTAAAAACACTCTCGTCTGTACTTAAAGGGTTGAACCGAGTTAATTGTCCCGAGAGTACTCGTGCGCGTTCAGGTGTGTCACTCATCTGTTCATCTGCGAGATGGTATTTTGCATCGTTTGTTATCTATTAGAAACTATTGAGCTCCTTCGACAACGCAGCTCTCATCTTAATATCTAAAACCAAAGCCTTGATGCATGTACTAGCTGCCTTCAAATCACTTAGAACATTGATGCCTCGCAAACCGTCCATCCACTCTCTACACCTTGCATCACAATTTGTACACCAAGTGTATTTGACAACAGGCCCTTCGGTTTTAGAAAAACACAATCATCCTTCAAATCAGAGTCAAGCGACTACTGCCACATCTTATATGAAACTGCTGGAGTTGGCAACATACTGACTTGAATATATAGTGCCGATCCACCATGCTTAAAGTGTAGATTTTAGTTAAAAATAAACCTTTCTCACCTTCAACCCTCTTGGTCGTTGGCTGGTCACACTATCGCCCATATAGTGTTGCAGTGATTCTCACATATACATTGCATGCCGTGTATCCTGCGCAAAAACCTTGGTCGTTGGCTAGTCACACTATCGCTCATAGTGTTGCAGTGATTCTCACAAATACATTGCATGCCATGTATCCTGCGCATGCATCGACATGTCCGTCAGCATGTCTCGAAACAATCGAGTGCTCGTTCCGTATCTTGTTCTTGTATCTCCGCGATGTTGAAGTTGATACGGTGTCTGACAGGGTCTGAGTAGTTACAGAAATCACACTTTTATCGAGGGTCTTTATTTACACAACAACCTGATCTATGATCTTTATTACTATTGCGTTGATCAGCCGATGCCATGGGTCGCTGAGATCAGGAACATAGTTCTGTGGGGCTTTTACTATTTTTTTCATCACTGTGAGTTAATGCATCGGGTTATAAAAGCTGGATGTCACCCGACTAGCGCCTTATTCTTAACACTTATAACTTGAGCAACAAGTTAACCGGAGTTGTAAGTTAACTAACTTGCTTGTATCAATACTTTTCTTTATTTAAATATCAACTACTCCCATAGTCTAGAGTGATCTCTGGTTTGTAACGATCTTAGAGATTAGTTGTATAGGCTCGTGGACGTATAACTGATTGAGCTCCTTGTGTGACTCGTGGACGTATAAGTGGTCAAGCATATTATATTCTCAACTACTATGCAAAGGACCGTGGTACATATTCGGCGAAAGAGATAGATACTACCATCCAACTTCTCTGTTGTAGCAGTTATCAGTCAACGCCACCCAAAGTCTATCACTGCTCGTAAAGAGCGCTAAACAAACTACCCAAAGCTTCAAGTACCTGCATCGGGCGAGGGTTCTTCCCAGCCTGAAGCAAACCTTGGGGCAGATACGTGTGCGCTTACATCGCGTTGCCATAGTTACGCCGATTTATTTTCAGCAATACAGTGCACCACCTGCAGGCAGTCATGGTCTCAAGACTTCTCGCCAATCACTATGCGGTATAGTTCAAGCGATCCGTAGTTCAGCTTCTGATTCCTCACTGGTACAGCTCACGTCTGCACGGCAGGCGACTAGCCAGAATATACGATATCAACGCATACCATCTACAGTGGTTGGGATCAAGTACCGGCAACGCCTTAACGTTTTCTGTACGCGGCGTGACACTGACATACAGACTACACCTTGTGTACTACCTACTCTCTCGATCCCCATAGATGTGCTGCAGAACAGCACGGTTGAAGACGTCTGGATTGTCCTGATGTGCGTACGAGGTGTTTCAATGCGTTTTTAGGGTTTAGGGTTTTGGCTGTGCCGGGTGCAGCGTGAACGCACGGGCAACGACTGTCACTAAGTCCGGCCGTTATGCACACGGCAATGTCCTCTGACGAATGTTACGTTCGCGACACAAGCGGTAAAACACAGAGCGCTTAGTATTCCAATTAATGAAGCAGTTATTAAGAGTCACGTAGTACAAATGCTGGGTTTGTGTGGGAGAGCGTGACAAACGTAATAAAACAGTTATTAAGTCACGGAGTACAAATGCTGGGTATGTGTGGGAGAGCGTAACAAACTTAATAAAACAGTTATTAAGTCACGGAGTACAAATGCTGGGTATGTGTGGGAGAGCGTAACAAACTTAATGAAGCACTTATTAAGAGTCACGGAGTACAAATGCTGGGTTTGTGCGGGAGAGCGTAACAAACTTAATAAACAGTTATTAAGTCACGGAGTACAAATGCTGGGTTTGTGTGGGAGAGCGTAACAAACTTATTGAAGCAGTTAGTTAGAGTCAAGGAGTACGAATGCTGGGTTTGTGTGGGAGAGAGTGGTAAACTGTACCGAATAAATAGTTGGCAAAGCTGCCACGTATGGAAAGTGTGCGGAGGATTCAATACCGCTCATGCACTTCAAAAGAAAATCTTTGGAGAAACATAGCAACAAACAAGCACCCCATGATGACTTACGGTCATCAGTAACGATTTGTTGTTCTTGAAATCCATACCGTTAAATACTCTACCACTATAAATCTGGTG